TATTTTTTTAGCCAATAGACGTGATGCCCATTTTTTTAAATAAACATTACACTTAGAAAGTTTCACTTACTGTAAAGAAGTTAAATGGTTCGAAACTATAATACTAATCTTTGTTTTCACTATGTGCATTCTTGAATCATTTCATACGAAAGGCAACAAATAAACGTTCTTTTTAAAGCAACATAAGGAACCGTTAAAAAACCTACACTGAATCTTTACTTTGCTACCATAATTTTTGAACTCTTATGAATTAAAAGTGTATCCAAATATTATTAGTTCTACACTCTTCTTTCAGTCAAATGTTATTCATGCGAACAACATAATACAGTTGGTAAATAAAAAACCTGCACATACCATCGTATCCAAATAAATTGTGTAATGAACCTTATCCTGATTATGAGAATCAGAGCTGTTTTAATTTCAAATTATATTGCATCCAAGAAATTAGGAAGTAGTAAAAACTGAATCAAATAAATACTTATAAATTATCCGATTATGAAGTCTTGCGAAGTGAACTGATTTTGATAGTGATGTGATAAAAATGATATTGAATGATAGTGATAGTGAAATTAAATTTTTACAAGGTCACTGCAGAGTTCTTTTTATCTTATTATGAAGAAATAATTCAAACTGATGTCTCAAAAACGGGAAGAACTTAGGAATGATTAAAAATGAGTTGTAATGAAATATGGGACGACCATATAAGAGCCAATGAAGAACCTTAAAGATTTCAGCCAAATCACGATTATGCGGATAAAACATTGTGAAAATGATGCCATCTATGGCTAACTGTTGAACAACCCGAGTTTTTTTCATGTGGAACAAACTTCAAACCTCAGGTTGGTTAAATCTAAAAATTAGACCAAAAGGGCTCTCAAGCTTTATGGGCAATCTGCTTTTAGTGAGTCGCCAAATATTATTGCGTAACGAGATTTGTGAATATATTATATTTCATTTGAGAAGCCGCCTACCAGTGAGCGAGCTTTAAAGTCTCTGAGTATTGGTAATTTGACTCGGGTTCACGAAGAACGACCTGGTTGCATGTGCATTTTCATAATTTTCCTTAGGTGTAGCTTGGATACGAACCAGTTACCGGAAATTTCTTCCACAAAGGCATCCTTCTCCTTAAGGAGGTATTCCTCGAGTGCTTTCCGCATTCAAATAACAAAATCCCATTGATAAACTAATTTTCATTTTAAATGTGATCGGGTATAGCTGCAATCACTTACGACCCAGGTTCAGTTTATCAACAGAATTCGGAATTGTTAAGGCTATAGTAGACAAATAAATAAGACGTCTCGTTCCCTATTCTTTCCCGTGGCTTAGATAAGGCTAGCTGGTAACCGATAATTAGTAGGGGATTGTGATAGAAGGATCCAATACAAGCCCACAACCACACGGGTGCAAGACACGGGTCCAGTATGACTATGCGTAACACAACAGTCGAGCAGCCTCTCTCCACGGTGTCTCCAAACTTTAATCCGACCATCGTGGTACTCAAGGCAGAAGCGTTATTCGCCCTAAAACTCAACATCATGTCATTCGGATGTCCATCTCTGCCGTTCAGTGCCCCATTACAAACGCACATGCCTGTGGTTTAAAGGTAGCGAAGCTATGAACGTCTAGCGGACTGTCCATTATACTATAAACGACGTCGAACTGTTCGCGCAGACACCTATAGTTGTATTACAGATTGCATTCATTGTGGTGTGCTTACGGGTGTGGCAGTGCGCTCTATCAATGCCATGCGTACAATATGCCTGTCTTCCCGTGTAATGCTGCGACGAAATGGTTGCAATTGCTCCTGTCCATCAATCGTTCTCTCCTGCATCCACTGATTCCATATTCCATATTGACTGTTGCATGGCTACATCCGACGCGAAGATGGATGATACAATTCTTCTGCCTCGGTCGAACTCAGAAATGGGCTCGAACCATGCTTGTATTTTAACGAGGCATACTGAAGCTGAACACACGCAAAATCTCACGAGAGAACAATTCACGCTATTCAGAACAGCATCGCGGATCATAGATCCTGGTGATGCACAAGCATTTAGCCACTGTGGGCTTTAACCTGTCTTTGGAATTGCTCTGAGGCAAATGGCTATGTATGGAGAATAAGCGCGAAGATACGCTGCCGCTAAACTGCAATGTAATGGGGCTGGATCTAACCTGGTGAGTGGCTTAAAAGATGCAGGCAGAAAATTGGAAAGGTCAAATTTCTATGGAGCCAACTAGAGCGATTCAAAGATGAACTACTGACGTGGAAGTTACAGCACAGGGACTGTGCAGAACACATGTTATGCAGATGCAAACAAATTGATTGATAAAAGTGACAGATGATACATACGTTGATACATTTGTATCATATTGGTCGACAGCAGGAGATTTCTTATACTACTCTTCCTAGTTCCTTAAGGAGTCCCGATTGTACCTGGCGGAGGTGAAAAACATGAGCGAAGTCTTCATTAGGAGAGGCATAAATAGATGGAGCAAATAGTGTGAAGCACCTTACTTCTTTAGAGAATATGCCTGACCGGAATGCCTTGATGGAGAGGTCCAGAAAACAGTCTGCTGGTCACTTGAGGAGGAGTGACGAATCCGGAAAATTTGTGGATGAAACTTGCCAACTAGTTCGTGAGAATATGAAACAAACAAAACTTGATCTAAGAAAATACCAGTGATAGCAAAAGATTAATGTACAATATTTACAAGCTATTGAGATCTCCCATAGAGAGCGTTGTAGCACCCCTCAACTATGTGAGAAAAGTTTCGATTTGAGCCAGAGATGGCGTGGGTTGTGAAAATGTAGTGTGAAGAGCTGTGTAACGCGTATTTGCTATGTAACTGTACTATGTAATATAATGTAATTAAATGTATTTATTTAAAATGTGGAGCAGTTTTGAAGGAGCACAGTTCACATTTTTTGGAACCACCAGTGAGGACAGAGTCGGTCTTGGAAGCTGTGGGTTCTAATGGTTTAGTTGCAAGCTTTGTTTGGGAATTTGTGGAATTTTGCAGGAAGGGAAGGTAGGCTATGTTTTGTTTCAAATTTGAATTGTTGTAAAATGTCGGAATTACCTAAGTTGAGAAAGGAGCGTAGCGCAGTTAGGTCTACGTTAACTAAGTTAATTAACAAAGTTGAAGCTTTTATTAAGGAAGATTCTAGCGAGATAGATGTTACGAATAAGGTAGATACTTTAAAGGAATTTCGAGCCCAAATAATAGATAAGGAAACTAATTTAAAACGATTAAACGATGAAGTGAAAAATCTTTGTAATTGTGATGATATAGAAGAGGAAATTACTGTGTCAGAGGAATATTCAGAAAACATTATCCTCTTTAAACAAAAGATAACTAATGTAATTGATAGATTAATGAAATATGAAATGAATATTAGTAACGTATCCTTTTCTATTCCTGCAACTGATCAAGGTCTACAAGAAAACCAAATCTTTAGAGAAACCAAAACGGTTAAACCAAACCAGTACTGATTATCAATTTAGGAATAAATTGATAATCAGTAAATATTATGGTAATCCTGCTTCTTGGTTAGAATTTTATAACCAGTTTGAATGTGCTATTCATAATAACAGTAATCTTACAAAGATAGATAAATTTAATTATTTAAGGTCATATTTAGGGAGTACAGCATCTAATTATATAAGAAAATTATGATGCTGCTTTGGATATATTAAAAGGTAGATTTGGTAATAAGAATACTCTTATACAGACACACTTGAATGAGTTACTTAAAATTCCTATTATTAGAAGTATAAATGATTTAGCTGGATTGAGAAGGTTGTTTGACAAAGCTGATACTCAAATTAGAAGTTTAGAGTCGTTAGGAGTTGAAACAAAATCTTTCAGCACTTTATTGATTCCCATTTTGTTAGAAAGAATTCCAAAGGAACTTGTTTTAGAATTCAATAGAACATATCCAGATAGTGATTGGAATTTTAAGGATTTATTTACCTTTTTAGACAAAGAGATACGGTCTAGGGAAAGGACATATTTATTTAGTAGCAAAACTGAAAATTATCATAATTTGGGTAATGAATATAAAAGTAATTCTAGGAAATTTGAAAATAAAAAGCTTAATACTAATAGGAATATATCAACTGCTAGTTATACTACAAATGTTAAAAGAAACTGCATATTTTGTAATAGCAAAGAACATGAATTTTGCGAATTTGAAAGTGTCGCGGAAAGGAAAAATAGATTACAAAGAGATAATCGATGTTTTCGCTGTTTCTCAAAATTCCATTTAGCGCGATTCTGTAAAAACTAAACTCGACCCATGCAAGAACTGCAACAGCTTAGCTCACCACTCCTTTCTATGCGAAAAAAGTAATAAATCAGCTGAAGTCGAAGGGGGAAAAGGAGAATTCAAACGCGGTGACTCAGTGCAGCTCCTCTCAGCGGGGGTCAAATGGCAGTGCTTTACTGCAAACTTGTACTGTCTTGGCTTGTTCGAAAGGAAACTTTAAACTATGTCGGGTGTTAATGGATAACGGGAGTGAAAGATCTTGGATAACAAAATCTTCGGCAGATGCCCTTAGCCTTAAAACCATTCGAAAGGAAAGATTGTCAGTTTATGCTTTTGGGTCCACGAAAGCCATAAATAAAACTTACAGTGTAGTAAAATTAACATTGAGAAATAGGAACGATCCTAAGAAATATATTGAGATAGAAGCATTAGTTACTGAAATGATTACTGCCGCACCCATTGCATTTCCCAATATAAATATTCAAAATATTTTTGAGCAAAAGGGTTTAAATTTAGCTGAGGCATGCATGGATTCAGATGAAGGTATTCACATTTTAATAGGAGCAGATTATTTTTGGGACGTCATTAAAGAGTCGAAAGTAGAAAAAATAACCAAAACGCTAAACTGCATACAAACTATTTTGGCCTTACACTCCAGGGCATACAAAATAATTCTGAGGATAAAATTTGGGGAAACATAGTATCAACAAATTTTTGCGTTGGCACTGATATGCAGATGCTATGGAATTTAGAATCGTTAGGAATTACAGATTCTTATAAGTTATCAATTGCAGATGAGAATTTGATAAAACAATTTGAAGATAATCTGAGGTTTGTAGATGGAAGATACGAAACTTGTTTGTTATGGGGAATAAAGCCAACGGATTTAAAAAATAACTTTTGTCTTGCTAAAAAAAGACTTGAGGACTTAAAAAACAATTTCGAAAATAATGAATGGTTGGCGAATGAATACAAGGACATAATTAAAGATCAACAGAGTAAAGGAATAATTGAAGAATGTTCTAGGGATGCGAAGGAATATTTCATGCCACATAGAGCAGTTGTGAGAACCGATAAGGATACTACTAAAGTTCGCGTGGTTTTCAATTGTAGTTCGAAAGCGAAACTAAATCTCTCTTTGAATGATTATTTAGAGACTGGGCCGAATTTGAATCCCAATGTACTGGATGTTATTTTAAATTTTAGGAAATTCAAAATTGCATTTTGTGCTGATATAGAGAAAAGCATTTTTGATGATTGGAATTTCAGAAGAGGATAGGAAATTTTTTAAATTCTTGTGGTTATCAGAAAATACAAATGAAGACTACAAAATAATGCGTATGACACGTTTGCCGTTTGGTTGTAAGTCATCGCCATTTATTTTAAGTTGCAACAATAAAAAAGCACTTAAAGCAGTACAGGAATAATAAACCCGAATGTGTTGAAATGTTGAACTCTTCACTGTATGTAGATGATTTATATTTTGGGGGAAATAGTGTTGAAGAGGCATTTAAGCTGTCTTCTGAAGCTGTGTCGATTTTAAAGGATGCAAGTATGATTTTGCGAAAATTAAAAACTAATTCTGAGAAACTGAGGTCATTGTGGATGCAGAATGGACTTAGCGATGATACTTGTACTTCTGATTGTCAGTTGAAGGTTTTAGGCTTGAACTGGAACCCAGTAAATGATAAATTTTCTATAGATATAGCAAGATTAATGGATAGTTTAAAGAGTTTGAAGAGCACAAAGCGTTATGTCTTGCATGTTGCAGCAATGATTTTTGATCCAATTGGTTTTGCAGCTCCATTTGTAGTTAGGATTAAGTGTTTGCTACAGGAAATTTGGGAACGTGGTATTGGTTGGGATGAGAAATTGCCAGATGACCTTAAAATCAAGTGGACTAGCTGGTGTTCTGAGGTTAAATATCTGAAGGATATTTCAGTTCCGAGAAATTTATTTGTGTGTTGTGATAACTTAAATTCAAAAATGGAAATACACGTATTTTGCGATGCGTCTCCTATAGCTTATGGTGCTGTAGCGTATTGTCGTTACTTAAATGATAAGGGTGACATTTCCGTGTCGTTTGTCATGTCGAAAAGCAGAGTAGCTCCTTTGAAGAAATTGACGTTGCCACGATTGGAACTAATGGCAGCAGTCATAGGAGCTAGAATAGGAAAGTATCTGGGAGAGGTTTTTAAGGATCTTATTGATAAATTTGTGTATTGGACTGATTCCTTAATTGTCTTGTTTTGGATAAAGGGTTCTGCGAAACAATGGAAACAGTTTGTCGGTAATAGAGTGGTTGAAGTGCATGAAAAATCAAATCCCAGATCTTGGAATCATTGCAGTGGAAGGGAAAATCCTGCTGGTTTAGTTAGTAGGGGTGTGCCAGCTCAGTGTATGTTGGAAGGTGATCGTTGGTGGTGTGGTCCAGATTGGCTAAAAAGAAAAGATAATTTTTTTTCCCTAAGCATCCACTGAAGGATATCCCACTGGAAGTAGTAGAAACTGAGAGAAAGGGATGCATTGTGCATACTTCTGTGATTAAGAATTTTGTGATTGATGAACTGCTTCATAAATATTCTTCTTGGACAAAACTTTTACGAGTTATAGCTTGTTGTCTCAGATTTATTGCCAATGTGAAACGATCATCAATAAGAAGGACAAAATCAAATTTTCTCCAGACTGGAGAGCTAGCCGTAGCACATTCTTGGGTAATCAAGTCTGTGCAAATGCAAGAATTTAGTGAAGAAATCGATCATTTGAAAAAGAGAAAACTGGTGAGTCCTCGCAGTAAACTCAATATGTTGAATCCATTCTTAGACGACGAGGGTATTCTAAGAGTGGGAGGACGACTAAGAAAGCTAATGCACAGAATGTAAAATATCCAGTCATTCTGCCTAAATCACACTATATTACAGAACTGATAATACGATATTATCACTATAAATATCTTCACGGAGAAGCACAAATGCTCCATTCAGAAATCAAGCAGAGATAATGGATTATTAATGCACGAGCAGCCATTTGCAAGATCATTCGTAAATGTGTAACATGCTGTCGACACAGAAGTGAGCAGTCATATCAAGCAATGGGCGATCTTCCAGCATCCAGAATGAATCCCGCAAGAGCTTTTTCGATATGTGGTGTGGATTTTTCGGGTCCTTTCCAAGTTAAACCGAGGAAAAGGCGCGGTGTTCGGACAGTGAAGATCTACGTTTGTGTTTTCGTATGTTTTAGTACTAAGGCAGTGCATTTAGAACAAGTTGGAGACATGACGACAGATTCCTTCATAGCGGCTCTAAAACGATTCACTGCTAGACGTGGAAGACCGGAAGAAATGTATAGTCATTGCGGCACTAATTTTATAGGTGGCAACAAACAAGTGAAATCATATCGTTCGGAACAAAGGGTAGCTAGATACTTAACAGAGGAAGAAATTACACTAGTATGCAAAAATTAAGGACGAAGTCGAAAAATTAGCATATCAGCTGAACGAAGAGGCAGAGCGGACAGGAAGATCAATCAGGAGATTAAGTAAGGTGATGTACGGTAGCACATGCGCAGATATGCAGGTAGACGTAATGGGGGCAGTGTCTGAGTAGTATAAAGCATGTTGTCGGTGTAAGATCAGTATTTCTGGCAAAGAGATTGCACGCGGTATAGCAGTTAAAATCACACCGAGTTGCTGCCTCAGCGAGAAATGGCGAATAATCAATCTGTTAGACGACATCTGGATGCTTTTACCCGAGGTCGAATCATTGGGAAGTTGGAGGAAGGCCGCAGTGTGACAAGTGTGGCTGCAGAGTTCGGAATTGCTCACAGCATCGTTTCACGACTTTGGAGACAATTTCAAACTACAGGAACAGCTATCCGGGGGCTTAGTAGTGGTGGACCACGAGGAACCACACCCGCAGATGACCGGTACATTGCCTTACAGGCCAGAAGAAACAGGGCGGCAGACAGCGGGAGAAATCGCTAGACACGACACAGGCGACTGGACGACCGATATCGCGTTTTACCCTGGCCAGAAGACTGCACGGTGGTGGTCTGTTTGCACGACGCCCTGTACGGTGTGTACCTCTAACGCTTGCCCATCGGAGAAGGCGTTCTCTGTGGTGCCGGGAACACCGGAATTGGAGAGACAATGAATGGGGACGAGTACTCATTACAGATGAGAGCAGATTCAGTCTGAGTAGCGATTCTCATCGCCTACTCATCTGGAGAGAGCGGGGAAGCCGCAATCATCCCTCGAACATCATCGAAAGGGACAGGTATGGAGGTGGCGGTGTTCTCGTTTGGGGAGGCATCATGCTTGGTAGTCGTACAGACCTTCACATCTTCGACGCAGGTTCAGTCAACGGGACCCGTTATTGTAACGAGATTCTTCTTCCATATGGGCGTCTTTTTAGAGGCGCTATGGGCCCGCAGTTCCTTTTCATGGACGACAATGCACCATGTCATCGCACAGTAGCTGCCGAACAGCTCTTAGAGAGTGAGGATATTGAACGTATGGATTGGCCAACACGATCTCCGGATCTCAATCCCATTGAGCATGTATGGGATTTTCTAGGCAGACGCTTGGCAGCTCGTACCTTACCACCAGTAACGATTCCGGAGCTTCGATTGGAGCTGCAAGACGAATGGGCAGCAATGCCTCAACAACTCATTGGCACCCTCATTCTCAGCATGGGCAGACGCTGTGAAACCTGCCTAGCAGTCAGGGGAGAACAATATCCCCTATTTAAGACCGGATGTTTCTTGCTGGACACCCATCACAGGGATGTTTCGGCCTTCAGTCGCATTGCTCTCCATGTTACTTTTTCAATAAAGCTTCTTTTTATCCCTCTGATTTCTCTTTTAGTAAGTGTTGCTTACATTACTCATGTCCTTACGTATTGGGGATCTTACGGTATTAAATGTGTTGATTTGGAAAGCTTTTGTACAAAGTTATTTTGAAAAAACCGTCTCGTCCTTAATTTTTGCACACCAGTGTAAGTGAAATTTCAATCCGACTTCTGCGCCGCACTTTGGTGGACTATGGGAAGCCGCGGTAAAGGCTATGAAATATCATATGAGAAGAGCAATTGTTTCTCAAGTTCTAAGTTTTGAAGAATTTGCTACTTATCTAGCAGAAGTCGAGGCATGTCTGAACTCAAGACCATTAGTAGCGATTTCAAGTGATCCAGATGATTTTTCCGTGATTACACCGGGTCATTTTTTAATAGGAACATCATTAAAGGCTATTCCAGAACCAAATGTTTGCGACGAGACTCTAACACTTCGCAATCGTTGGAAACTAGTTCAGCAAATGTCGCAGTCCTTCTGGAGGAAATGGTCTAAGGACTATTTGACTCAACTGCAAGTTCGCACAAAATGGCATCGTGCTTCAGCAAATATTAAAGTAAACGACTTAGTAATCATTAAGGAAGATAACACACCTTCCTTAAAACGGAAACTGGGACGTATCACCGAAATTTACCCAGGTGATGATTACAGAGTTCGTGTTGTAAAAGTAAAAACTGCTGATGGTGAATTCAAGAGACCCATTCACCAACTGTGTGTGTTACCAATAGACAGTTAAGTATCGTGATAAATTTTGAACTTTAACTTGATATTCATCGATATTCATTTGAATTCTTGACGTTTTAATGTTATTATGTTATTACTTACTTATTTATGTTATTAATTTTGTGTAATTCATTGTTTACATTTACATGTTGTTTAGGCTTAGCATTATTCATTTATAAGCAAGAACTATTTAATCAGGAAATTATATGTTTACTAAGAATAATAATTTCATGTAAGAGGTAGTTTGATGTCCTGAACAGCCATCCGTGGGGAGTATGTTGAGATCTCCCATAGAGAGCGTTGTAGCACCCCTCAACTATGTGAGAAAAGTTTCGATTTGAGCCAGAGATGGCGTGGGTTTTGAAAATGTAGTGTGAAGAGCTGTGTAACGCGTATTTGCTATGTAACTGTACTATGTAATATAATGTAATTAAATGTATTTATTTAGAATGTGAAGCAATTTTGAAGGAGCACACTTCACACAAGCATAAAATATGCTGTGCAGAAACTACATGGAAGAATGTTTGTAGGTTCTACGTCCAGTCACAGTCGGCCACTTATTAGGGCATATTTTCTTAACTCTATATACAAATCCTATAGTGTGATCACTTGAATAAATCAGGAAAATAATGCACACACGTTGGGGATCTTAATGAGTCAAAACAGTACAAATATCCGGCGCCCTGCTATCTGACTGGCCAGCGCAATCATGTGGACTGTAACATAAATGACGCTTGAATAGCGTAGGAAGCACTAAACGTTCACTACAGGAAAATAAAATAGTCGAAACTACGACTATGAGCACCCAAATCGATCACAAAATTATAGTCTATATGTTGAAGAACTGAATGAGTTCCTAGAATGAGTAGAAAATGAGAAGATGAAATCTACGACCGAGAAGTCGGTTCGTGAGGTTCTACTTTCTGATCCATTGACCTGGTCACGATGGTCACAATGCAAAACATGTGTAGCAAACGATTTGATTTTTCTTATCCTCTTTTAGGATTTCGTAGGCTAAAACATTCGAAAAATTTTCAGAATCATTACTCATGGTCCTCTTGTAGAATCTTTCTTTCAGTCTACTGATGGAATCCCATATTGTTTCCATTTTAAGGTCCGAGTGAAAACTTCTATTCCTTACAAAGCAGAGAGCATTGGTGATGAAGCTTAAAACCTTGTTTTGAAGAGTCTGAAGTCGTTTAATTTCGTTTTCACTAGCGTTCGCTCATGCGGACAAGTAAGTAATAATCGGCCGGATGATGAAAGTATACAGTCCCTTTTTTAAGATTGATAGAAAGATGTTTGCTATTTAGTAGTGGAAAAAAAATCTTAATATAATATATTCAAATTCTTTATACAATGCCGTAAGTTTTGCCACACACTCTGTATATGTGGGCAGGTTAGGTGAAATTTCTGTTGAAGGTGATTCCCAAATAGTTAACAACAAAATTTATCCTCGGCACTTGGGCACCGAAGAGCTTCATGCTGCTATCAGATACACTATTTGTTGCCGGAACATAACGCTAGAAGGAACAATTCTCGAAACTGCGCTTCCGCGAGATCGGGTTACCATCTTCACTTGGTAAACAGGCTGAAAGCCAAACAAGAATCAGTTATCGCTCAGATTGGCGAAAGAGACGTTTCCTTTCAAGTGACGATTGCTTTTCCGTGTTGTATTTTGTATCGCTCAAACTTTTCGCTTTAAACTTTATTGTTAGTTATGGAAGATAATAAAAAGTTGATGACTAGTATGTTAATCACTTTCATCTCGACTTTGGAATTTCTAAAAGCTAAAGAGAAAAAACGTGCAAAGAAAAGCCCGATTCTTTGTAATGATCTGTATATTTTTATATATCTGTATATTTTATATACATATATATATATATATATATATATTTGATTTTATTATT